CCCACCTGCCCCCCTCTGCTGTGTCTGAGAAAGAGGCAGCAGTGCAGGGAGCAGGCAGCTCCACAGGAGCGGATATGCGTGGGGAGTTGGGTTGAAAGCCATGTCCCATGTGTACTGGCTTCTGCCCACCCCCCCGCCGCTGCCTCTCTATCATAGACTCATAGACTTTAAGGTCAGAAGGGACCATTATGATCATCTAGTCTGACCCCCTGCACAGTGCAGGCCACAGAATCTCACCCACCCCTCCCAGAATAATCCTCTCACTTATATCTCAGCTATTGAAGCCTTCAAATACTTTGAAGACCCCAAGATGCAGAGAATCCTCTAGCTGTGATCTGTACCCCATGCTACAGAGGAAGGCAAAAAACCTCCAGGGCCTCTGCCAATCTATCCTGGAGGAAAATTCCTTCCCGACCCCAAATATGGTGATCAGCTAAACCCTGAGCATGTGGGCAAGACTCATCAGCCAGACACCCAGAAAGTTCTCTATCAGAGGCAGCAGCGCTGGGGCGCGGAGAGAGGACAGGTATCTCTGCGGAAGCCAGTGCCCGTGGGGAGCCGGCTTTTCACTGGCTCACACTTGCCCTCTACTGTGGGAGGCAGCAGGGGGGAACAGGCTTAAAAGCTGGCTACCCATGGAAAATGGTTCCTGCCTCCCCCACGCATCTGCCCAGACTCTGCATTCCCACCCTAGTCTCCTACCCTGAGGCCCCTTCTACACTAAAAATACCTTCATCCCAGCCTGGAGCCCTCTTCTACTCTCAAAATGCTCCAGCCCCACTCCAAAGCCTGCACCCCCCAGATGGTGCCTTCCCACACTCTGAACCCCTCATTTTTGGCCTCACCCTGAAGCTTAGGGGGCCCTACAAAATCAAATAGCCCCTAGCCACCAGAAGAGTTGATCTGGGCCAGCCCATGGGGCCCAGAGCAACAGTACCCTGAGGCCTTCTGATTGGTCCACAGGAAGTTGTCTAGGCAGTCATGCACTCTTCTGGCATGCTGAGACTCCACCTCTTACCTTGTTTTCTAATCTCTGGCCTCCAACCCCAGCCTAACTATTTCCTGTTTGTACCAGCTGTACTGACTACTCTGATCCTTCTCTCTGACTCTCCTTCTCTTCATGGCCATCTTTGACATATGGACACCAGCTCAGCCGTAACTGGTTCCCTTAAATCTGATATCTTTTGAAATTAAGAGAAGTCTTCCATTGAGGTTGGTCCGTCTTTGAGTGGGAGGGTTGGACTACATGACCCCCTGAGGTGTCTTCTAATCCTAATTTATGAGTTTCAATGTGTACTGGATAGGACTGTTAGGCATGGCCCCAATCCTGCAGTCCAGTCCAGGACTGGTAATGTTACTGATTTCAGTGAGTTATCTGGAAAAGTAATGCTTGGAAACCAATATCCCTGCCCAACATCTCTAACTGTTTATGTAACATGGTACATTATGTTTTAAAAGAATGAAGGTAACTCTGGAGATGAGTGAAGTTTTTTTGGCCAAAACTTTTCACTGAAAAATGCAGATTCAGTTTGGAAACATTTTGCAAATTCATGAGGAATTCACCAAATTGATTGAGTTTGAAATTAAAAACCCTAAAAATATTTCATCAATTCGAAACACTTTGTTTTGACATTTTTAAACAAAGACTATACAAACAAATTTATTTTGAAATTTACTTATTTAAAAAAAATTAAAATGTCAAACAAAATATTTTGCATGCCACTAAACAATGATTTTCTTCAACTTTTCAGTTCAACAATTTAGAAAAAAAATCATTTTAGGTGTACCCAAAATGTAATTTTAATTTTTTCGGTATAAAAAGTGAAGAATTGGTTATTTGCACGGAGTATTTAGAATACAAGTGATTCTATTTTCCTACTGTTAGACGTGCCCAAGGTCATGTCTACACTACAGCAGCATAGTAAATGGAAGGGAGTTTTCCACTGATGGAATTGATCCACCTCTCTGGATGGCAGCACGAAGGTCAAAGGACGAATTAGTCCATTCACCCTTTTTCTGCATTAGGAGTTAGACTGTCTGGTAAGAGAGAAGATCTAACAGAAAATAGCATAATGCCCCTAGATAAATGTATGGTACAACTAAACATTGAATACTGCGCGCAGTTCTGGATGCCCCATCTCATAAAAGATATACTGTACTAGAATGGGAGAAAGGACAGAAGGACAACAAAATAATTAGGGGTATGGAACATCTTATGTATGCAGATAAGTTAAACATTAGGGCTGTGTCTAGACTGGCAAGTTTTTCCGCAAAAGCAACTGCTTTTGCGCAAAAACTTGTAAGCTGTCTACACTGGCCGCTTGATTTTGCACAAAAACACTGACGTTCTACTGTCTGAAATCAGTGCTTCTTACGCAAATGCTTTGACGTTCCTGTTCGGGCAAAAGCCCTTTTCTGGAAATGTTTTTGTGCAAAATGGCCAGTGTAAACAGCTAAAAACTGTTTTGCGCAAAAAAGCCCCGATGGCAAAAATGGCGATCGGGGCTTTCTTGTGCAAAACCATGTCTAGATTGGCACGGACGCTTTTCCGCAAAAAGTGTTTTTGCGGAAAAGCGTCCGTGTGAATCTAGACGCTCTTTTCCGCAAATGCTTTTAACGGAAAAACTTTTCCGTTAAAAACATTTGCGAAAAATCATGCCAGTCTAGATGTAGCCTAGCTGTCTCTTTTTTAAGCTGCATAGTCCTAAGGGGCTGAGATGACAGATCTATAAAATCATCAGTGTTATGAATAAAACAGTGAATAGAGAAGTGTTATTTATCCCTTCATATAACACAAAAATCAGGGTCACTCTATACAATTAAGAGGCAGCAGGTTTAAACTAACAAAACTATTGAAAAACTTCTTCACACAATGCACAGTCAACCTGTGGAACTTACCGGGGGTGGGAGGAGAGTTCAGAAAGAATTATATAAGATCAAGGAGGATAGATCCATCCATGACTTTTAGTCAAGATCATCAGGGACAAGATCATCTGGGTGTCCCCAAACGTCTGACTGCCAGAAGGTGGGACTGGGCAATGGGATGGATCACTCAATAAAAGCCCTGTGCTGTTCATTCCTTTGGAGCATCAGACCAGCCACAATCAAAAGGCAGGACACCAGGCTAGTAGGATCATTGGCCAAACTGGGTCAGACCATTCTCAAGTACTTATATCCTAACTACCGTGCTCAGGGCGTGAAATATTTCACAGCCCTGAGTAATGTAGCTAGGTCTACCTAAGTTATAAGTGTGGGTTAGGTCTAACTCTTCCAGCTGAAGTCAGAGCAAGAAAGCTATTTGGATCCTGCTACATGGGACTTAGGACAACAAAAGCACAAACATTAGACAACCTGAATTATTTAAATAAAAAACAAAATAAAATGAAGCCAGACATACCTGGGTTCCTACTAATAAAAATGGCACATTAGGTGCATATTCCTTTAGCTCTGGTACCCACTCCTCCTTCACATTTTGAAATGAGGCTGGATTTACCACTGAGAAGCAGATAAGGAAGACATCTGTCATAGGATAAGATAAAGGTCTCAGACGATCATAGTCTTCCTGAGGAAGAAAAATGTTATCAGCAGTCTTGAACTGAAGCTCCTATTTTGTTCATTGTTAACAGTTACATTCAGGGACTATGCTCAAATATGTCAAATAGAAAACTAATTTAAACACACTCAGTTTACTTGGCTGCTTTACAGATATGCCCTGTCAACTAACATGGCATAGGAAGTAAATACATACCTGAATGCAAGTGAATACCATGGCAATGTTGCTACCAGTAGTTAGCTATTCACTGTTATCTATTAAATATTATAAGTATGGAAACTAAACTTCTTTAAAACCTTATTTTAAGCATCCTTTGCATATCTACAACCTAAGGGCTAGCTTTTGCCCTGGCATGATGAGTGGAAATAAGCAGAGACATGCTGATTCCACAGCCATTCTACCTATACAAAGCAAAATAGGTAGGGCAAATCTGAGATGTCCATAGTGCTGCTTCTGATTATCTACTGACCCAAGAAACCATTCCCTCTTGGACCTCAGATGTGAGTGGTAGCTGAGCCCTCTCCTAGCATTTTAAAGTTGCAGCAGGGAATTGTGTCCTGTTATTGATGATCTCATCCTGCTAGAGGATAGCATGGGATCAGAGCTCCTTTATTCACAGTCTATGTTACCCCAGTGCACCAAACAGTGGGGAAGACTTGGCACGAAAGAGCACTGACATTTTCTAAAGCAAATGACCACCCAAAAGACACTGAAGCTCCCTGAGGAATTTTCAGTGTGGATAGAGAAATCACTCAGGGTTAGTTTTTTAGTGCCACAGCATCAAAATCACTTGGCCATATTGGGAAGGTGCACATAAGCACTTTTATAGGTTGCAGCATGCCTCTCCCCCATCCCTGTGAGGTTTGTTTTGCTGGATGACACTGAAGGAAGCTGGCCATGCTGGTGCCATTCCTATTTTAGAGAGTTTAACACGAATCACTAGCCGCAGAGCTTTTGCCCTGATGTGGGCATTTTGCCCACATAGCATAGGGAAAGCTGTTGGTTCCCTCTCCTCAACAATGGGCAGTAAGGCAGGGCTAACTACATTGTTCTACAAATTCTCAGCTACATTAAGTCCCACAAATATTAGAACTGTTAAAATCCCTGCTGTAATTCAACACATTGGGAAATTCAGCCACAGCTTTTCCCTGGCAATTGGAACTGCTAGGTTGTGCACATTACTTGTAAATAAAAAACTTTATTAGTAAACAGTTATAATTGAAAGTGTGTCAGTAGAATCCCAGAAAATGTGAGAATTTCCACAGAAGATTTATACCAACCATGTCTCCTTCAGAAGTCTGGAAATGAACAGCTAAGGGATTTTGGCACTTCACTCCTGTCATATACTGCTACATAATTTCGCAAAAACTCAGAAAAATTCAGATGCAGGTAGGTGTATGTACTGAACTTGTTGGAGCATCTGTATTGTAAGCTGGTGTATTTGACTGGCCATACTGCATGCAAGTCTGGCCACATATCTGCCAGAAATTAGTTCTGGGTCCCCAATCAGTGATCACAGAATACTAGAAATGGAAGGGTATGTCTACGTTTCGAGATAAGGTCAAATCTAGTATGGTCAATGTATTACCACTCGAGTTTGAGAAGTTGAAGGGTCATGTCCTTACTAATGGCAAGCACCGAATGTTGCCCAAAGTAGCACATCCACATTATGGAGCTTGCCATCGACTCAGATTGCAAGGCATCATGGGTAGCTCGGCAGTCTGGCCTATGTTTCTGGCGTCCACTGGATCAAAAAATCAGCAGCGACTGGTTAGAGGGGCTCAGATCAGCTGTGTCCCATAAGGGTCTCCTCTAGTCTCTCCCCCCTCGCATGAGGTAAAGGGGACACAGTGTACTTGTGCCTTTTGTGGCCTGGTTGCCCACATGGATGTCTGTGACCATGAAGCACAGTGTACCGGAGAGAACTGTCCTGCTCCTGGATGTCATGGTGCGCCTCCTGGTGCTGTTCTTTGAGAACATATGCATGTTGCTCCACCAAGAAGAGGAGAAGGATGAAGCTCAGTGTGGCACAGAGGCTCTGCTTAGGCAAGCCCTAATGTTCATGCTAGTGCAGACACAGGTCAATCAGCTGGACATAGTGCAATGCTGGTTGTAGTGTTGGGAGACAAGCTCGGAGTGATGGGACCGCATTGTGATGCAGACATGGGACAAGCAGCACTGGCTGCAGAACCTCAGCATGCAGAAGGCCACATTCCTGGAACTCTGCAAATGGCTCGCCCCTGCCATGAGGCGCCATATTCCATATGACACCCGCTCTGACTGTGGAGAAGTGCATGGCAATTGCTCTATGGAAGCTTGTCATGCCAGACAGCTAGCAGGCATCAGGAACCAGTTTGGGGTGAGGAAAACTACAGTCAGGGCTGTTCTCATACATGTAGCCAAGGCCATCAATAACATCCTGCTATGGAGAGTTGTAACTCTGGGGGATGTGGATACCATCATGGAGGACTTTACTGCAATAGGCTTCCCTAATTGCAGGGATGCCATAGACAGCACACACATCCCCATCCTGGGCCCTGAACACCAGGCCTCGGAGTACATCAACCTCATGGGGTACTTCTCCATGGTGCTGCAGGTGCTTGTGGATCATAGGGGCTACTTTACCAATATCAATGTGGGATGGTCAGGAAAGATGCATGATGCTCACATCTTTCATAACTCCTGCCTCTTCCAAAAGATGCACGAAAGAAACTTTCTTCCCCGATGAGAACATCAGAATCCGAGAGGTGGACATACCCATCATGATCCTGGGCGACCCAGCCTCTACATGGGCAGCCTGGACCCCAGCAAGGAGGAGTTCAACAATAGGCTGAGGAGGTGCAGAATGTTGGTGGAATGTACGTTCGGACATTTAAAGGCAAGGTTCAGGAATCTCCTGACTCATCTGGGCCTCAGTGAATGCAACTTTGCCTTCGTGGTGGCAGCCTGTTGTGTGCTCCACAACCTGTGTGAGAACAAGTGGGGGAGGGGAGACTTTTCTGGCTGGGTGGTGGGTCTGAGGCAAAGCGCCTAGCCAGAGAGTTCGAGCAGTCAGACACCAGCACCAAAAGGACAGCACAGCAAGGGGCAGTGTGCATCAGAGAGGCATTGAAGGACAGTTTTATGCAAGGCCTCTTTTAGACTCTTCCATGTGGCTCTCCGCAAGTTGCTCCTGCATTCCCTGGCTACGTCTAGACTGGCATGATTTTCCAGAAATGCTTTTAACAGAAAAGTTTTCCATTAAAAGCATTTTCGGAACAGAGCGTCTAGATTGGCACGGACGCTTTCCGCAAAAGCACTTTTTGCGGAAAAGCGTTTGTGCCAATCTAGACGCGCTTTTCCGCAAAAAAGCCCCAATCGCCATTTTCGCAATCGGGGCTTTTTTGCGGAAAACAAATCTGGACTGTCGACACTGGCCCTTTTGGCAAAAGTTTTGCGCAAAAGGACTTTTGCCCGAATGGGAGCAGCATAGTATTTCCACAAGAACACTGACAATCTTACATGAGATTGTTAGTGCTTTTGCGGAAATTCAAGCGGCCAGTGTAGACAGCTGGCAAGTTTTTCTGGAAAAGTGGCTGATTTTCCGGAAAAACTGGCCAGTCTAGACACAGCCCCTGTGTTTCTTTTTAATCCCCTAACCCTCCCCCATACAGTTCAAGCAATTAAAAGATGATTGTGCAATGAACAGGAGTATTTATTTGGGGAAAAACAACAGGGAAAGGAATAAACTGGGAAATGGAAGTGGGAGGGTGGAGTGCTCAGGAATGGCAGTGGAACTGCTTTCTGCCTCCCGATTCCTGGTGGCTCCAGCTCCCCATGAATTCCCTCCCCACAGTGTCCTGGGGACCCTGGAGGTGGAAGTAGGGTTGTCATTGAGGCAGGAGGGGTTCTGGGTGGTGGCCCATTCAAGCAGATCACCATGCGCTCCATGACAGAGATCAGGGTAGGGACCATAAGTCTCATGCTGCCTCGAGAGCTGATCCCTGGCAGCTCTCTTCTCCAGCCGCTCTTCAGTCCAATCCAGATGCTTGGCTCAGATCCCTTGCGCGAGGGCATGCATGCAGTCCAGCTGCTCATGGAACATCTCTACCCTTGTCCACTTTCGCCTGTGGATTCCAGCCAGAAGGGCAGATGCAGTGGGAGGTGGGGGACACATAGAGCTGGCAGACAGCCCAGCTGCAAAGAAAAGTTACAAAGGCAGACACTGCAGCTACATTGTGTGACGCCTGCCCCTATTCTGTCCTAATCTTCAATGTTCTGTGCAAGACCAAATGTTAGCTTAAAAGCAGGCACTTTACAGCAGGTGCCCAGACATCTCAGGGGAGCATTGGGAAACACTCTGTCCGGAAGCTGGCAGTCAGTGTGAGGGACCTGCCAGGCCAGGAGCCTGCAGGCGGGAGGGGAGTGGAGGCAGAAGGCGGCTTCCCACTTTGTCCAGCACATGCCGGGTCTAGCACATGTGGCTTGCCAGGGAAACTACTCTTTTCTCAATCAGGACAGCAGCCTGCAGGCGGGGGTGGGGGTGGGGTGAAAGGCCTTCCCACTCTACCTGGCACATGCCAGGACTGGCAAATGCAGCTTCCTCGGGGGAGTGCTTCTTTTCCTGCCCACAGGAGTATATGGGGGGATGTCTGGCACATGCAGCCTCCCGGAGAGAGTACTAATCGGTTCCCCTCCTCCTCCCTGTAGGTTGCCATGTGAGATATCAAGTCTACTCCAAATCACCAGGAGTTTTCAGGAATGAATGCTAAGTGAATATGGCCATCAATCTGGGGCTAATGCTGCTCTGCTTTGTGGTTCCATGACACCAGACCACTCACTAGTGGCTGGACATGGGAAGGTGTCCTACCATGGAGGACGGCATAAGGCTGGCCTCCCCAAAAACCTTGTGAGAAGGCTCAAAGAGTTCCTATGTGACAGCTTCATGGAGCTGTGCAGACAAGACTCACGTTCATACTGACAGTGTCATACTGTTGTGTCATATTTATTTTGTGGTCCCTTTCTGCAAT